GGGGGGGAGAGGGTACAGCTGGAAGGGGGAGATACGGAGAGAACCGGAGGAAGCACCCGTGATTTTCAAGCATCTCGGGCGACTACGTCAGAAATAAAATGAAGAGAGAAGGGAGAGAGGGAGGCAAGGTCCGCCAAGATGCCGACGTCGACGGCGGGATTCTTCCTTGATACGTCCCCTCCTTAATCCTCATAAGATGTACGTGCGGCACATAGTAATTTACTTTATGAAGCTTTTTTCCAGCGCGCCCGTCGAGGTCATCACTTTCTCCCTTTATATCGAGCGGGCGCGCCCCTCTTTCTCTCACCGGGCGCTCATAACCCGTAATAACCGAGAACGACGCCGGGCGACGAGCGCGGGCGTCGACAATGATAAACGTCTTTACTTGCTGCGCCGGCGAAAAGACCCGGGGCCGGCACTACCGGCCTCGCCCCGGCCTAGACCAGGGTACAGGTACGAGGGAAAAAAACGCAAAAGATATCGCACCACCTCGCACACCCTTCTTCGGCAGGCCGGCCGGGCGCGGGGCGGGGTAATACGCGCCAAGACGATAGTAGAGAGTAAGTTATGAGAGTTCGAACGCGCGGCATCGATTGCCACCCCGAAGTCAATTACGCGCGACACCCGTCGAAAGGGATGCGCCGTGACGCATCGTAAGCAACGGATGTAAAGCGACGGTTCTCAACGTCAGTCGCAGTGCCGGCGCAGGTTTCAGGGCGGCTGCGCCGTATTTTTGAGAATCGCATACAAAATATGAAGAATTTGAACAAATTGATTATATTATTCTTGTTTTTTTTTTCAAATAACAACGATTGTCGGGATAAAGATGAAAATACAAAATTAAATAGAAGAGATCGAGGAATGATGAAAAATACTGAACTTACATTCTGAACTTATATCCTGGGCCATTATTATTAAACGCATCTTTGAGTTTTTGATAGGTATATTTATCTTGAGTGACCAAAAATGACAACTACTTATTTGTAATTTTGCAATCTAGGGCATAGAGTTTTCTCTTTTGTTTGAACATTCCTAATTAATAAAAAATGCAGTTTTCTTTTTATCAGATAATATTCATCAGATATTTAATTTTATAAAATAAATATGTTTTTTTTTAATATTTAGCCGTCACTGATGACTGTTAGAGCTTTGACCGCAATAAAATAAATTTTATCTAACGTTTACTAACAAACGAATAAAATGGCAAACGAGCAAATAAAGTAAAATTTCTAATAATAGAAACGGAAAACACGTTCCTTCTAAAAGCAAAAAAACGCGCTCACCTTGTTGTCGACTCTATAATTGCTAACAAGTTAATACGTTTTCACTGTAAATGACGAGTGAATTAAAATAAATAATTTATATCCATTTTATAGACAATTGTTTCCTTTGCATATCTTAATTGACGCAACGATGACAGACGGGTCTAATATAATATAAATCTGATCTTTGAACGCAATCAATAAAAAATATATAAAAATATATGATGAATCTAATAATATGGCCAGAGGCTATATCTATATATACATAAGCGCTCAACTGAAAAATCTTATAACAATTAATTACAATAATTAAGATTAAGTGAAACGAGAGTTGTGCACCAAGCCGAGGTTCAAATGCGCGCAGCGAGCGAATCGCCCGTGTGTAATTACAACCTGCCAAGATCTCTCATTGTCAGCTCACTCGTCTTTTGCGACCTGCGCGGGTCATATATACGCCTATTTAAGTGGACTGTTTAACGATTCAATGCCATACAGCGCATAATAAACTCGCGCAAGCCGCGTATACACCTTGATCAAACAAACGTCCCGGAGAGCTGTCGCGATCACGCCCAGAGCCCCCCCTGCCTCCCTCTCCCCCGCCCCTGCCGCTCCACGACATTGTCGCTCGATCATTAACCGAACGCACGTGAACGCGATTTACATCGAGATTGCGTTTCGCTAATTAATTATACAGCTACACAGCTACAGCTATATAGGTACCGGTCGGCCGCGAGTCAATCATCGAGTCATGCTCGCGCGGTTGTCTTACCGCAAGGAATTAAATAGCGCGCGGGCAAAAAGATATTTCTTCAGTTGAAAGCAAAGTGTAGATATTGATTTTTTTTCCCCGCCGTCGTGCAAAAAACGCAAATGACTTTGGCAAAGAAGATAAAGCTCGTATTTGATGCGCATTTTATTCACGTAAGCATGATACCTGAAATTATCTTCTCTTTAAATAAAAAATGGCATATTAATGCAAGATAACACACATTTTTTTCTCGTAAAGTAATGATACAATTTTTTAACTTTTTTTGTTTTGTTATTGCAGTTGCCGTAGATTGCCGTAGATTTTACGTAAAAAATAATTATATAATTTTTCTTTTCAAAGGAAAAATATTTTTTTTTTATTAAATCATTAGAGGTTCAGTTTCTGTGTGTGTTTTTCTATATTTATTCCTCGCCGATATTTAGCGTCAACAATGACTCTTAACGCCGAGAACGAAGTGCAGGAACTTATAAATAATAATCTTAATTGCATTATGAATCATTGAGATTATTATTTATTAGTTAATCAGAAATCCGATAATTTTCTTGCTGCGAGTCAAAATGCATCAGGATCAAGATTTGCTCGAATATAGCTCGCTTCGCGCGTTGGAGAACGAATGCTTTTTGCAGTGCGTTTCAGCGAAACCTTGGGTGAGAGAATACGATAAATATGCTCGTGATAAAAAGGAGTTTATCGCGCACTCTAATGTGGTTCGGATACTCGTCGTGAATAATTACGGAGATGTCTTCGACGATACGCGCGGGGAGATTGCGCTACGCGCGCAACGATGCCTCGTGGCTTCCGGACGATAATCAATATCGATAGGATGGTTAACGGCAAATTTCTGTGAACTGAGACCGGTCATCAGTCGTATCATCGTATAATTAACATAAGAATGTTTGCTTCAATTTTCATAATTGCAGTTCGATTTCCGCGTGTCATGTAAAGAAATAGCTTATGCGTATCTCCGCAAAGAAAAATAGATGCTTTAAATCCACGTTGATTACGAACGTAAAAATATTTTTACGCGCTCCCCGCCGAATCTGTTAAGTAGATTTAAGCGCACGCGTTTTTTTTTTGGTGTCTAAATTTGGTAGGGAAAAACAGGCAGTAAAAATAACACGCGCGCAGGTGCGGCGAAGTTTTTCGATAAACCGGAATCAATTAGGCTTTATCTGAAAGCTGAAAAATAATTTTGTCGAAAACTTTTGTTATTTATTAATTCTTACATAGCGAAACTGAACGGGAAGGCGCTAACTTCTTCAGAAAAAACGTCGTCTATTTATGTATAATTAGCACGGAAATCCGTGATCTTTTTCTCACAATGCTGCGATTTCCTAGAGATATTATCAATGCTCATAAAGTTGACTGCTTGTTTTATACATATACATATATGTAATCGTTACTTTGCCGCTTAGTAAAATTCTAATTAAAGATCGATCTTGTTGACGCAACCGATACGCCTCACAGAAATGCTGAGCTATAATATCACAATACATTATCTACATAATTATTAAGGTCGTTTTTAATATATTCTCACACTAACGTGGCTGTATGTAGATTACCGATATACAACACTGAAGATTCCGCGTTCGTTCACATAACAGAATGACAATAACTCTCGCATTGTCTAAAGTCTTGTAAAATTATAATTTAACTAATGTATAATGTACAGTCATCATTTTCGATATCAACTATATAATTTTTTGGTAGATTTATAAAGTTATTATGCCTAACGTTATAACAGTAATAATTAAAAAACGAAGCTTCTAACCATAATTCATTTATAGTTTTTGGTAGACCTATAAAGTTATTATGTCTATAATACACAGTAATAACTAAAAAAATGAAGCTCCTAACCATAATTAATTTACAGAAATATCAAACACTTTCAATCAGAATTATAGTCAGAAATATCAGATACTTTCTCTTGTTGTCAGTGTAGAAACGAAATGCTTCGACGGAGAAAAAAATTTAACAAATCACATTTGGGACGATTCGGTCAATCGACCGATGCGACTGGTCAATTCTTTCTCCATCCGAGATCTCGGAACAATTTCTAGCATTGTGGACACAAAATTCGAGATTATTGGCACTCTTTTCAAAACGGAAGATCGACAATGCGAAGTTCCAACAATATACGTACGATAGGATTCAAAATAACAAAAACGCTTCTTTCAGTGATCCTCGGAATGCATTGAACATCTAATAAGGAAATTTCCATTCAATGTCGAAAATATCCAGTAAGAATCGCCGGAAAGAAAACAACAACCTCAATCGTACACGCGCGAAATTGCCATAATCGACGTATAATTTTATATACCCTCATCACGTGACGGTGTTTTTTCTCGGAATCTTTCCAGTCGGACTCGTCGATCCTTCCACCGTACCTAGACTGATTCGCGAGACGAGAGGCGCGACGCGGCCGGGCCCGGAGTGCAGTGTCGACGTTGCGCGCGAGAACTTACTCGCGTAGCCCGCGCATATCAATCGACGCCGCGTTTACGCGCTTTTGTGGAAATCGCGTCAATTAACGGGTTACGTTAGGTGCAGCCGCTCGTGAATATCAACCCCGCGCGTCCTCCGAACGAGCTCCTCTCCCCCGCGCCGCGAGACGCAATCCCTCAAGTCTCTGAACGTCGAACCGCGTCTCACGATGCCCGACCGGCAGAAGAGGACGCATTTCGCGTCCGTCGTCGCGCCGGGGAACGAGTGTTTTATTGCGCTGCCGCTACCGGAAGTCCGTATGAATATTCAACCGCCGCGTGAGTTTTGCGTCGCGCGCTCGTAGCAGGCGCGGATCCCCGCACGTACGATCTCCGAAGGCTTCTTTCCCTTTTCTCCCTTTCTCTCTCTTTCTCTCCTTCCCTCTCTCTCTTTCTTTCTTTCTTCTTTTTTTTCCTTCGTCTGAATGACAGAGCGGTGGGCCGAGAGGATCGCGCGCGAGTGGAGTTTCCCGAAGATATGTCGCACGATCTGAACTCCTCGTCGTCGTCGCCACCGTTGTCCTCGGATCGGCCGCAGGACGACGCGCGGGACGAGGATCTCGCCAGGTGGGAGATCGCGGTGCTGACCAGCATATTCCTTGTCACGCTCATCGGCAACGCCCTGATCCTGCTGGCCCTTTACGTCCGGCGGCGTTATCAACGACGGAAGTTCACCAGGATGTACTTCTTCATCCTGCATTTGAGCGTGGCCGACCTGCTGACGGGTCTGCTCGACGTTCTGCCGCAGCTCGCCTGGGACATAACGTTCAGGTAAGCTGCACCGTCATTCCGACTAACCTTATGCCTCTCTAATGAGCTTTCGTCGACCGACGACGATACGTAAATTCGCGCCGAAGACGACGATAGAAAGTCCAAGAAGTTTTTGCATCGAGTGCGTTCGTTTATTTTGCGACAATTACGATATCAATTGTAACAGCGTGCTGGTATTTTCTTTTACTCATCATTTATTTTATTTAGATGAGAAAACTTATCCGAAAAGATAGTATAAGGATTGTATAAATATTCAAATAATATAATATCTGACCACACAGAAGAATAGTCCAATTATTCGAATCCAGATGTATGAATATCTATACAAACGAAATATGGAGCTGTTTTGAAAAATCGAAGAGACTAATAAGGAACTAATCGCAGAATGTAATGATATTTATCACAAATTATGTCTATAACTTTTATATTTGTTATACATCTAATATGTTTTATAAGTATAATAAAAATGTACTATAGATCTCAAATTTAATTAAATACTTTTTGATTTTTATGAAAGAACATTAACTGTATGGTTTATATGTTCAGGCAATAGATAGTTTCTTTTGACTGTAATGATTTTGCTTTATTTGTGGAGAATACTTTTCAGAGTTGAATGAAGGAATCGGAAATAACAAGATAAATTTGAAGTTTGATATTTATAACTTTAGATATATGATATTATATGGAGCAATATGTGATGTATTCACGAGAAGAATGATTTTGCTGGATACAGATCTGAAAATAATTTTGTCGGATTATCAAAATAATTTTGTTGGAAATTCAAAAATGATGAGCATGTCAGTAAAACGTTTTTTGATATTCCAGCAACCAGTTTGAATTTCCAACAAAATTATTTTCAAATCTATATCCAGCAAAATTGTTAGACTTCTCCAACAAAATCGTTCTCTCTGTGAAATAATAACGACGACGACGGAAACGAATCAGAAATCTTTCTTGAGTTGAGCTTAATCAATTTCACGTTTGACGGCAAATAATCGTCTTAAAGTTCTGAAATCAGGGCAGACTTTAAGCAAAGCAGCATAAGCAGGTACACCTTATATTTTTCCCAGCATAATCGTGTATATTGACACTTTGATTGATGCTAGGAAATTATATTTACCTATCAAGATATGATGTATGATAGGATTAATCCAGATAGGATGCTTCTAACGTTTAGCTTTCACAGTCCAAGAATATCACATATTTGCTATTTTAACTAATGACTTCGTAAAAAAATGTACTTTACTGTTTTCGCACAAATTTATCATGTCAAGATTTTAATATAATAATATTTTGATAATTAAATGACCGATACATATAATACAGAATAGGTAGATGAAACAACTCTTAATTAACGGATATATTACATCGTCGGTTTGATATTAATTCGATTTTAATATTGCATTAATTCCAAATATTGCAGTGAATATCATTTCAATCAAGAATCAAATCTGCATTTCTCTTTGTGCTACTCAAATGGACTTTGACGGATGAGAATTTGTACACGAAAAAGAACGTTCTTCCCGTATATTTTTAAAGTACAAATTTTCATTTGTAAAAGTTCTAAGAAATCTGCCGAAATCTACGATCTGCTCTCGTCGAGCAGGCGATTCGATTAAACAAATTTGACGGTACGGTCATCAGATTTCAGGGTGGTGCGGTGCTCTGTAAACTGATTAAGTTCGGACAACCGTTCGGCCTGTATCTCAGTTCCTATATCCTGACGGTGACCGCGATAGACAGGTACCAGGCCATCTGCCACCCCTTCAGTTACTGCGGCGTCACATCTCGAAGATCGAAAATGATGGTGTACGGGGCGTGGACGCTCGCCGCTGCGCTGTGCGTACCGCAGGTTCGTTTGAAAATTTAATTCGCGCATCACGTTTCTCCGCTTCTCTGCGAGACACACGTATCCTGCTCGCACGAGCCACACAAAGCACACCTTGCCACGCGCGGAGCGCGGATCGGTTTACTTGAGATATTAATTTTTATCCTGTCTAGACAGAAAGAGAGAGAGAGAGAGAGCGGGCGCAAATCTAATAGCGTCGACGCGCTAATTTATGAACGCGCTTATTGTACGGGCTGGTCATTATACAAATGCGTTTCGCGATTCGCGAATTAGTTAACATTTTTTGATAAACGTATCTCTATAACGTCAGACAGTTCTAAACGTCGGCAAATTACAGATTTTTCTCGTTCAATAATTTTAGATTGTTATATTCTCGTACACGGAAATATCGCCCGGCGTTTGGGAGTGTTGGGCCACCTTTTACCTAAAATATGGCGAGAGAGCTTATATTACTTGGTAATATCTATTCATATATTTATAATTTGTACATATTGTTCATTTTTAAATATATGTATATATATTTAATTACGTTTAATAATATTAATAGATTTAAGCATTTAATTGTGAGATGCCTGGATTCAATTATAGGTACAGCGTTACACAATTCCTATTGCCTTTCATGGTGCTCGTATATACCTACACAAGAATATGTTTATCGATATGGAGGAGCAGTAAAATGTCAGGTGTCGTTGAACTCAAAAGGGACAACAAAGCCAGTTTCTGTCAGCGAAATCGAGATCCCCTCATCTCCAAGGCGATGATCAATACTGTAAAACAGATGATCATCGTGGTTACTTTATACATTGTCACCAATATCCCGTTTATCGGATGCGAGCTGTGGGCAACGTGGGATCCCAAAGCTTCTACTTCGCCATTTTTTTCCGGTAAATATCCTATTAAATGGCAGTGACAAATCGCGATGGTATATAAATTAAGAAATTATTAATTAGAAAATGATAGGCCATTAGCATTTGACAATTTAGAAATTCACATTAGTCCTTTAATCAAATTATTATATACAATTCATAGCGCTTACAACAATGTTAATTTGTTCTTATGTATGTCGGCTTAATTTATTATTATGGGAAAGTATTAAGGTGTACGCGCGAGAATAGAGAACGGGAGATCTCCCGTATTTATTTTTCGGATCTAATGTTTCTCTAATGTTTCTCTAAGGCATTAAATTATTTATTAATTCTTATCTCATTGTACCTGTATGCGTTGTAATTTGCAGGCGCTGCTTTCACTATTCTAAGCCTCCTAAATAGTCTCACGAGTTGCGTTAATCCTTGGATTTACTTTGCATTTAACAAGGAATTACGTGCTGCGTTGATAAATTTTTTCTGCAGAAAGAAAGATTATTCGTTGACTTATGGTAATCATAGTCTTTCAGTTTGACTCGTTCTCTCTCTCTCTCTCTCTCTCTCTC